ATTTCCCTCATTTGTGGAATATAATAGACAACATAAACTGATAAACAAAATTAGAGCCAGAGAACAAAATATTTTTGAATATAATAGAAGTAATCCTGTTATTTGAAGACTTTTAATATTTTCTACAACTTTTGTGATATCATCTGTTAGTAGAGTTTTGGTAATATTATTATACTTAAAAATTTTTATTCTTGAAATATTAATGTTTATTGCACATAATATTATTATATATAAGATCATTTTTCCTGAATAATTGATGTTTATTGCATGTAACATTATCATATTTAAAATCGTTTTTCTTGAGATATTAATGTTTATTGCATATATTATTATACTTAAGATCATTTTTCTTGAAACATTAAGGTTTATTGAATGCAACATTATTATATTTAAAATCGTTTTTCTTGAAATAAAAACTGAAAAAAAAACACAACAGTTAGGGCAGGACCTGTAAGGAATTTTCGATATTGGAAATGCATACATCATATTAGGCCTGAGCTATAATATGGAACAAACAAAGAGCTTCCTATCAGTGTTTCTGCATTATTTACACTATTTCTAAATTGAGTAACATGGAAATTGAGAAGAGATGGTTTCAACAGATGCTCAATTCTCAATTACCCTTTCCATTTGTCTTTAAAGAAAGATATTATTTTTATTGGGAGAGAAGACTGACAAAGAGGGTTCAAGTACAACTTGATGGAAGGGAGGATGACCCTTCTAAGGAGGGTGTGTGGGAGTGTATGGGTACAAGAGCACATAATCATGCCCTACATGTTTTGTGTGAGTTTCATTCATAGAAGGAGGTAGGCTGTAATGCTACACAAGGTATGCCCCCTATGATGCCACCCCACAGTGTTTAATGTTAGCAAACAAAATAATGGATCATTAGGACAAATGTTCTACTACTGCCTAACACCTCAACCTATACTGCTATAATGCTAAATGGAGCCACCCTGAAAGAGCAGAGAGGGGGCAAAAAAGAAGGATATGGGGCTCTCTGCCTCTCATTTGGTCTAATAAATATGGAAGCCAGGACAGTGGTAAATAACCTAGAGTGGAAAATTGAGGGCTCAAGTATTCTACAACCACTAAATACTGAAATAAATGTACCTATATGTCCTGGCCTTTGAATAGACTTAATCTTTGAATATATATGACATCACATGTATGGTAATGCTTCAAAGACACTGCTTTGTGCACTTAGTAGCAGAAGTTTCTGTCAAGGGGTTCTCTGGCCCCACAATCTTCACGTGGTGTTACAAATGTGAATCAGAAATGTACTGCTGTCACTGACATCCCTGCTCCTGGAAGAGATTCAAGACTAGTTCCCTTGAGGCCAGTGGGGCTCAGGGGTGGGATTGTAGAAGCCAAGTTGTAGATTCTTGAATGGCCTAACTTTTCAATTCATTATACAAATTTGACACATTCTGGGCATGAAATATTGTAAACTAATTGTGGTAGGGTGGGTTCACCAGAAGTAGATGCTGAGATGAAGTTTGGGGCACAAGATGTTTATTAAAATCAACACCTGTGACAGAAAGTGGTGGGGGGGGCAGGATTGGCAGAGGGAAAAGTCAAACTGCAACATAGGCCAGCCTAGTGGGGAGCTCTGGAGTGAAAAATGTCCTTTGGCATTGGCCCAAAATAACTGCCTGGGACTTTATATCCCCGAAAAAAAATGACCAGCCCATGTTCAGTCACCAGATCCAGACTGCCCCAAGAAGGGCATGGTTCAGGCAGAGACTCTGCAGCTGTGGCAGATCCTGAAGAAGCTGACAGCTGGAGGCTGTCTACTGGTTGCATTTCCTACTGCTGGTCAGCAAATCTTTCCTTGAAGAGGGTTCTTCATGGTGCATATCAGGGTCGACCATACTGATGGGTTAGTCCAAACCAGGGAGGAGGGAAAAGAGATGAGAAGATAAAAAGATGTGAATGGGCAAGGAGTGAAGAAGCTGGAGCCACCTAGAGTGTGAGGTCAAATCCTGCTCTCAATCTTGGGTCGGGGAAGACACTAGAGCAGCCGTGGGCAAACTATGGCCCCCCGGCCGGATCCGGCCCGTTTGAAATGCAAAAAACTAAAAAAAAAAAAAAAAGACCGTACCCTTTTATGTAATGATGTTTACTTTGAATTTATATTAGTTCACACAAACACTCCATCCATGCTTCTGTTCCGGCCCTCCGGTCCAGTTTAAGAACCCCTTGTGGCCCTCGAGTCAAAAAGTTTGCCCACCCCTGCACTAGAGTCTGCAGTCCCTTCCAGCCTCCACTACTATGACCAGCTCCACGGAGTACACCAACAACCTGATAGGCCCTGCCTCTTTCAACTCAATTCTCAACTTCCTTAATGTTGATGGGGCATGATGCCACTCAGTGTCAACACTTGTACAATCAGAATGTGAGGGTTAAGGGAGTGGGCAGTTATTGTTCCATTGACCAATAGGAGGCAGAATAAGAAATTTGCCTTTCTCTTAGAAAACAGTGCTGTGAGATTGGGCAATTAGTTTGGCACCAGCTGTGGAGTGAGTAATACACTGTCATGTTGGCCCTCCTACCTTTCCATCTCAGTCCTTCCCCCACTC